GTGCCCCTGGCACCCCCCGTCCCCGTCCCTGTCCCTCCCCTGTCCCCCAGCCCTGCCTGCTGCCCCCGTCCTGCTCCGTCCCCATCCTGGTCCCCATCCTGCTCCTCTGTCTCATCTCCTGCTCCCCATCCTCATTCCCCGGTCCCTGTCCTGGTCCTTGTCCCCTCTGCTGATCCCCATCCCCATCACCTGCCCCTGTCCCCTGGTCCCTGTCCCCATCCTGGTCCCCATCTTGCTCCTCTGTCTCCTTCCCTGGTCCCCATTCTGATCCATCCCCTGGTCCCTATCCCAGTCTCCATCACCTGCCCCTGGGATCTGGTCCCATCCCTGTCCCCATCCTGATCCCCTGGTCCCTGTCCCTTCTCCTGATCCCCGTCACCTGCCCCTGTCCCCTGGTCCCTGTCCCCATCCTGGTCCCCTGTCTCCTTTCCTGCTCCCCATCCTGATCCATCATCCCCCAGTCCCTGTCCCTTCTCCTGATCCCTGTCCCTGTCACTCGCCCCTGGGATCTGGTCCCATCCCTGTCCCCTGGTCCCTGTCCCCATCCTGCTCCTCCGTCTCCTTCCCTGGTCCCCATCCTGATCCATCCCCTGGTCGCTGTCCCAGTCCCTGTCCCTTCTCCTGATCCCCATCCCTGTCACTCGCCCCTGGAGTTTGGTCCCATCCCTGTCCCCCAGGCTTGTCACCTCTCCCGATCCCCCTCCCAGTCCCTTGTCCCCCTGCCTGATCCCTGTCCCCTCTCCTGGTCCCCGCTCTGGCTCCTTCCCCCATCCCTGTCCCTGCTCCTCATCTCTGTCACCTGCTGTTGGCCTTGTCCCCTCTCTCTGTCACCTGCCTTGGTCCCCTCCCTGGACCCTGCCACCGCTCTGGTCCCCATCCCAGCCCTTCTTCCTGTCCTCTGTCCCCATCCCCTGGGATTATTGTCCCCTGTCCTGCTCCCCAACCCTGCCCTGCTCCTTGTCCCCGGCTCCTGTCCCTTCTCCCGGTCTCCCCCTGTGCCACCCGTCCCCGTCCCCTGTCCCTGTCCTGGGGCACCCTTTGGAAAGCAGCGCGGGTGGCCTGACACGCGTCCCCGTCCCCGTCCTGTCCCTGTCCCCATCCTGTCCCCGTCCCCGCAGACAACCTGTCCTACATCGAGCACATCTTCGAGATCTCGCGCCGCCCCGACCTGCTGACCATGGTGGTGCAGTACCGCACCCAGGTCCTCAAGATCTCCGAGGAGGACGAGGTGGACACCAAGCTCACCCGCATCCCCAGCGCCAAGAAGTACAAGGGTGAGCCCCCCCCACCCCTGGGACAGGGACACCCCCCCC